ACCGCTCGGGAGGTCTCGGCAGGGGCAGGAGGGGGGTCGCTGCCTGACCGTCTCTGTAACCGCTGTTCACCTTTGCACGAATAGGGGGAATAACACCCCCCTCCGTTTAGGTGACGGCACGGTGGCGTGGAACCAGAGTGAATTTTGAGACGATGAGCAAAAACGCAAACGCTTTTCCAAGGCTGGAAGGGGTGGTAGGAGAGCGGAGGAGACTAGGATGTGTGAGCCCGCAATTGCCAGCTACAAGTTTGCTTTGTATTAGCTCAGGGTTTCGCTCACACATCTGATCCCGCCTCCCAAACCAAGCCGCAGTCTTCCAAACCTACATCTAGCGAGCACCGTGGTTTGTTCTGCTTTGTGGGCAGCAAGGGGGAAAAAAAACCCAAACAAAACAAAACACCGTGACTTGCTTCAGCCTCTCCCACCACCATCCTCAGCAGCCTGAACTCCTCATGCAGATCCAGGGGCTGCACATGGAGTTGTCGGGCTGCTACCTTTGAAACTTGGAGGTGGTTAAAACGTGGACAGTAAAAGTGGCAATGCTTTCAGTACAGGCATCTCAATCAAGCTGTAAGGATGCTAAGCACCTGGAGCCATGCAGGCTCTGCTGCAAAAGCTGTAACACTGGAAGGCCCTTTCCTTGTATGTTTTTTCATCTCTGTAGATGCAGGAGTGCTCTGCTTAACAGGGCGATCGGTGTGTCTGCAGGGCTCTCGCCATACAGGCACGGACTGGTAGGGGCAAAACTGCACATTGAACCGTTACCTTAAAATACCCATAACATGCAAAACAAACTAGATGAGTAAAAGCTTGATTTTGGTTCCTGAAAAATGACCCTTATGGGCTAGTCTCAGCTGAATGACCTTAACTAGGAGTCACTCCTCTTTACCTCTTGGATCAGGGAGGTTTGGGGGACACAGTCTTCTCCTTATGACCTGCTAGTAAGGCCCTCCCTTCTATATTATGTGTCCCATAGCATTTTATCAGCCTTGTGCTGTACACCAGAGCAGAAGCCCTTAGTGTACAACTCTCATTTGGGGAGGGGGGGAAATCACAAGGTGTTCTGCAAGGTGGATGCCATTCACAGCCTTGCCTTTGTCTTGGGTCATTACCACTAAGCTGGTGATAAGCTGCTATTAATTACAGATTGTCAGCACATGCAAATTGGAACAAGAGCATACCAAAAGCATCAGCTCAGTCCCACTGCGGGAGCTGGCACTGAGAGTCCCGTGGGTTGGTGACAAACTGTTCTTGGAGGATCTGCCCTCTGAAGTCATTGAGATTTGCTTGAGAGCACTAGAGGGTCGCCCTTGCTGGGGTTTGGTCTAAGTAGCTCTTCACAATTGGATTGCTTATTCCAATGAAGCTTTGGCACTTGTTCTCTTTGTCACCTGAAAGTTTGGTGATGCACACAATGACTCTGAAGGTGTCAGTTTAGCTATTTATTACACCGTGTGGTGAGAGTGCAGGTGTGGATTGCCTCCTCCTCCTCCTTATCCCCCCCTACTCCCTCCCCTTCAGACCCACAGCACTCGCTGGTGCAGCACGCTTGGCCTCATGCAGTGTTCTGGCTGCGTTGGTGCCCCGGTCAAATTGGGGCTGAATCACTGCCAGGAATACATAGCTGGAGACCCGATCCAGCTGCTTGGCTCAGACTCTAAGCTGTATAGAGCATACACTCCGAGCAGGGCAGTCTCTAGTAAACCTGCTAATGGAAAGTCTTTTCATTTATTATTGTCTACATGGGAAAGTTTTACTTGTTCCAGCACTGCAGTTCTGTAGGCGTTGGGAGAGCCTCTGCCTTGATGCTTTAGTGTAAAAATGGGTTTCCTTCAGTTTGTCTCAAAACAATTCTCAGCTGACCTTATGTAAGCCAAAATAAGGTCGATGCACTGAGGAGCCCACAAAGAACGCTTGTCCCAATTAAATGAAAACCGTTCCAGAGCGATATCTGGCTTAACCAGAACGCTCCTTTTGCACAGACCCAAACTCATTGGTTGTTCTCAATGATTGAGAATTGAGAATTAAATCATTCTCAATGATCTCAATGCAAGTTCTGTGGCAGCAGCTGTATTTTCAGCTAGTGAAAAACCCTCTTGCTGCTTGAGAGTTTCCTCTGGGTTAAAATGAGAGCATACTGAAGGGTTGATCTGAGAGGAAGGAGGCCGAGCACTCCCTGCCTATGGTGTTGCCGTTTCTTTTGGGCAAGGCCTGGAGTTTCCAGGGCTCTTAAATGGTCAAACATAAGTATAATAAAAATAATAACCCTTGAGGAGCAGCATGTAACAAATTCACGAAGAACACGCTTTTCCCAAGAATATTCCTCCAGGCAACAGCAGGACTCTCGGCCCCTTCCCTGGTGTGTGTCAGAAAATCAGATTTGGGTTTGATCCTGGTTACACAGAAGCTGCCAGCTCTGGACTGTCAGTTGACTGGAGCTGTTATTGTGAAAGGAAAACAAAAACGGGATGCAAGCATGTGTTATGACAGCTCCTCCTCTACCAGAACGGGGGCCCTTGCGCTTGACCACCCCGTTCCTGTGTTCCAGTTAATTCTGTGCGCCTTCTCAGAGCACGCCGTGTCCTACCGTGCGGAGCCCCTTTGCTTGCTCCTTGCTGCACGTTGCATTTGTTAAATGAGATCCGCCTCTCGTTAATTTGCTTCTCACGTCTCTCTCACAGGGAGCCGAGAGACTGCTTTCACCTACGCCGTCAGTGCTGCCGGGGTGGTGAACGCGATCAGCCGGGCTTGCCGTGAAGGAGAGCTCTCCAGCTGTGGCTGCAGCCGGACCGCCCGGCCCAAGGACTTGCCCCGAGACTGGCTGTGGGGTGGCTGCGGGGATAACGTGGAGTATGGATATCGTTTCGCCAAGGAGTTTGTGGATGCCAAGGAGAGGGAGAAGAACTATGTGAGAGGTTCAGAGGAGCAGGCTCGCATGCTGATGAACTTGCAGAACAACGAGGCCGGTCGCAGGGTAAGATGAATGCTGGCCCTTTCCTCTTTCTCAGAGGCAGATTCAGAAGGCTTGAGATAGCTAGATACCAAATTACTTGGAGGTTTGATGAGGGATAGTCCAATGATGCCCCAGTAACGGTGTATGGTCACATTCTTTGCATTTTTGTCAATATTGCAGGCAATATTGACAATATTATATTCCAGTTTTAATGGTAGGCTTCTGTTGCCAGCTAAAGCCAGTGAGTTTTGGGGTCTGTTGAGATACTGCATGGTACACATGTGCAGACATGTAAGCCCTTTCCAAATAATAGGTGCTGTCATGGACCACTTTCAACGTTTACGTCTCAGAAACTGGCTTCCCAGAGCTGCCAAAATGGCAGGCTGGTGGTGAAAAGAAGAATCTGTTGGCATGTGGAGTTCTCTTCTACTGCCGTTATTCAGATTTTTGGGAATATAAGGCCAGAAGCAAACATCGAATCAGGCTACTTGGCTATCTCTGAAACTTATGCCTTGCTCAGTTACATTGGTATTGGGCAAAATAAATAATTCACGTCTAGGTGACAGGCATTTTATGAGAAGATACACAGTTTTGATCTAGAGACCCCTAGGGATGGAGAATCCATCACTTCCCTTTGTAGTACGCTACCATCATTAATCACCCTGTTTCAACACTGTACCTCATTATCATTTTAATCTATCTGGCGTCAGCTTCCAGTCACTTCTTTTTCTGACTTTTACAGCTAGATCCAATAGCCTCTTGATAATCAGAATTTTCTCTGCATAGAAGTATTTATCTACTGTAATTTATTCACCACTCTTTCTTGACAAAGTAGGTTGAGCACTGAAGACTCTCTCACTTTCAGATGTTCTCATCAGCCATCAAATCATTTTCACGTCACTTTAGTGTGCCTTTTCCAGTTTTCCCATATCCTTTTAGAAACTGGATACCAAAATGATGTGCTGAGTTCTAGTATTGGTCTCACTGATGCTGTAAACGTAGGTGAAGTTGCCCCTTTTGTATGCGTTCAGTATATGCACCTTTGTTTTTCACACCATTCCTCTGTCTGTGATTAATAGCCTGGAAGGTGTAGCATCTTTCGTATGCGGTACAACTGTGCAATCCTGCCTCTTTCCAAATGTAGAACAGGAATACTTGCTTGATCGTTTGTGCCTTTTCCAGAAGGTGTTTAAAATTTTTGTTATTCTTCCCTAGTAGTGAGCTTTTCTAAGGTTAATTTTATTTCTAATGCATATTAAAAAATCCTATTAAGTGTACTTAGCCTTGCTCTTTTGCCCATTCTTAACTAATAATCCTTAGTTTCCTTATCAATTTTCTGCCCTTTCTTACTTCTGTTACTGAATTATCTTTCCCTTTCCCATGTATGTCTGTCTTTTCTGCATGTAATTTCGGCTTCATTTTGCCACCAAAGAAGATTTGCTCTGGTTTTTCTGGTTATGAAATCAATGTGCCAGGTTGAAGCACTGCAAATACTCCATGCTTCTTTTACAAAATCAAATCAGGGTAAATTTGCAGTAGGTGAAAAACTGTGGACTTGAAAGCTGTAGAACTCCGTGGGGTTTGGTTTAGGGTTGGGTTGGTTTTTTTTTGCTTGGAAGGGCAGAGGGCCTGCCATTTGCTTAGAAATGGGGGGGCATTCCTCCGCGGAGTAGTAGCCTGAAAGTGACATTCTTCTCTGCATTACTTGGTTTGAACATCTTGCATGTCTGGAGTCATGAACTTGGATTGCTACAAATAAAAACCCTGCCTAAAATAGGGAGTGAACATGTCGTGAGACTTTTTAACAGCCAGTCCTATTGCCTTGAGGGATCCAGAGGCAGAATATGGGCAATAGTTTGAGGCACCAGTTGAACTGTAGTAACATCTGTATTGGAAGATCAAGTCAGAAGACACTTGCTCCACAGCATGGGTAAAACACTACCCTATCTTGTTAGTCTTGTTATATGGGCAAGAATCTCACCGAGCTGTGATTTCAGATGATGATACGGTTTTAGACGGAAGAAAGCTTTGTCCTGCTTTAAGGACAGAGCTAAAACCGGTTGTGTCCCACCAGTTACGTGTCTGTCTGCCCTACAGTGCAGAAAGTTGTTTAAATTGTGCTTGGAATGCTACAGTGCCCATGCTTCTTGGGACTCCATAGGCCAGCTCTCAAGGTGATTTCTGTGTCTCCAGTTAACACAGGACCTGGACAAATGCTTTCCAAATGGGCCAGCAAAAGAGAAAGTTATTTCAAGCTTGGTTTTTGTGGACTCTGTAGAGCAGATGGCCATAGAAAACAACCTTAGTTTAAATGAACACAAGTCATTTTAGATTAAATTAAATGGTAGTATAAACAGTGTGTAATTAAGCTTGTGGATTTCAAAGAACAAACTCTGATAAACTAAGGGAGCCAGTTAGTAAACTCAGCCGAGGAACTCGATGTGGAGGAGGTCTGGAACTTTTTCAAGTCAAAGATGCTAAAGCCATTACAATTCTGCATGCCAGGTGAGAGGAAAAAGCTTGTAGGAAGAATATCCAGACCTCACTGAATGAATAACTACCACAGAGAAGCTGTTAGGAATAGACCGAGAGCCTACTAAGAATGGAAAAAAAAGAACTGATAGCAAATAAATAACGAAAAGCTCTGTCTTAGAGGTCAAAAAGTGTAAAGATGAAGTGAGAACAGTAAAAAATCACGCTGAGTCAGACCTTGCAAAGGGTAGTAAAATAAACAGCGAAGGTTTTTTAAACTTTGCAAATTGAAGGAGATTGGAAGAAAGGAGACTGCTAGTCTATGAGGATGGGGCTGAGTCTAAAGACAGAGTAGTTTTGGTCCCCAAAGTAAGCGAGTGTTTTACCTGGGTCTTCAGGTCAGAATGGGGGGGGGCATTGCTTGTGGGGAGGGGTACGGTATGTCTGCTGTACAATGGAGACGTCTTTTTCTGTCCTCAACACTTCTGCCTAGGGGAATAAGTGCTTGTAGGTTAGATTCTTAAATCCCCCTAGGACTGTGCTTTTCGAGGGAAGCCAGGCAGGGTGCCCTAGGGGCAGGCAAGGTCTGTCACAGTAGGCAATGGCCGATGGTGCTGGCCCCCTGAGGGAGCGAGGAAGGCATGAGGAGGCAGCTGTGGTGTTCAGACAGGTAGAGGAAGAGGAGCTGAGCAGCACATACTGAAGTTCGGGGCCAGTGGACCTGAGATGGGTGGGATGGTGCAGGGGGCTGTTGATGGAGGGGCGTTCGGCATCGGGTCGAATGATTCAGATGGGAGTCAGGTGGCAGCAAAGGGTTGGAAGAACGGAGGGCTCTGGGATAAATGCTAGTGGGGCTCTGGAGTAAATGAGTGGGCCTTTGGGGTGGACTGAGTGGATGAGGATTTGGGGGTAGTGAGGAATGGAGGTGCTGGGATTGGGAAGGGAGATGAATATGAAAGGATCTGGATGGAGATGAGATTTGGGGTGGCTCTGAGATGGCATTGCTATGGGTTCCAGGGTTGTTTGGTCAGGGTGGTGGTTGGCCAGTACAGGGCAGCCTTTCCTCTTGGCTCTTAGAAATATATTGGCATGGGAGCAAAGGTGAAAGGCTGGAAATGGAAATTATCACAACCAAGGCGGAAGCAAAACTCAGGTAGCGTAAAGCTCTCAAGTCACAGGGAGCGCCCACTTGCTTTCCTGGCACTCTGACAGAGCTGGCAGCTGGCAGCACAGGCAGTGTGACCTTGGCAGCGTTTACAGGAGAACCTGGGGGAAGGGATATCTCAGAGGAAGAGGCAAAATGGGAAATAATCTGAGAAGAATTTCTCAAAGATTGATCACACAATCATTTGGAACATCACTGATTTCCTAAAAAGCAAAATAGATCCGATAGGTGTCATTTATCTGAACTTCTGTGAGATGTTTAATGTATTTCCCACACGGGAAACACTTGGTTAAATTGGGAAAGATAAGGAAAGATGCAGCAGCTGTGAGGTGGACAAGAAACTGGTTCAAGGAAAGATGTCAGTAAGTTGTGTGAAAGGATATATCTTGATCTTGACAGAGCTTAATTAGCAGAGGTCTTCAGTGACTTGCCTCAAGACCAACGCTTAGTATTTTTGTTTCTCAGCCTCAACACAAGAATTAGGAATGAGCTGATGAAATTTGCTGATGATGCAAACGTGGCAGGTATTATGAATACAGAGGAGAATCCGAATTTTGTACAGCAGCTAATGACATCCAATAAAACTGCATTAAGACCATCATTTGAGGTCTTGTACGAAAAACATTGTAGTCCTTAGGAAATGAGTAGAAAAGAATTGGGCGCAGCAGTCAGCTGCAGATGACTGCAGATGTAATGTGGCTCGGAAGGTGGTAAATATCCTATAATGTACTAGGGAAAGTCTTTTCACAAAACATGAGGGAATACTAATGCCGTTGTATTAAGCTCTCGTGAGGCCGCAAAATATTGTATGTTCTCATATTCCCAAGCAAAATGACCTCAGACTAGAAAAGGCTTGTTATGGTTGACCCAAGGGATAGGAATCTTTTCTTAAGAAAGGGGGCTAGAATAGCTTGCCATGTTTAGCCTAGCAAAGTGAAAGTTGAGAGAGGATATGACTGATGTCTGTGTTAGTGAGAGAAATAATAGGGGAGGAAAAGTACTTTTTAAGCAAAAGGCCAATTTGGCACAATAGCAACTGGGCATAAAGTGCATACATTTAGGCTGGAAATTAGAAAAAGATACTTTATCATTGGAATAGTGATCAGAATAATGGTGGCTGAAAACCTAATTGCTTTTAAAAGAGCACTCTATACATTTCAGGAAAATATTATTTGAAGTGGTGCCTACAATAGCAAGGGATCATACTTAATAACCGAGGAGGTCCCGTCTAGTCCTGCATTCCTAAATGTTAAGTTTTCACTTCTGAGATTCTGGTTTTGGAAGTAGGAAGGTGCACATGTAACTCCATACTCCCAAAAGTTGATGCTGAAAGAAAGGAGACACGGCACTGAGCATTGCTAAGTGGCCACCAGGTGCCATCCCACATACAGCCTTGCCCCGCTTTCCCAGCCGGTGTTTCAGTTGATGTCTTCTGATTTCTAGGCAGACTTTTGTCATGTCCCCTCACTCAGTTTCCTGTGGATGAGAAAGTTCTCCTTGAACCCCGAGGAGCTCTGGTGGCAGAAGAGAAGATCATCTCCCTGCTCTCTGTGGTTCTCAGAAGGAGCTGAGAGGGACTGGAGGGGACCAGAGGTCTTTTATCTTCCAGGCAGTCCTGACCCCATCACCCCTTCACTCCGCATCACCGTCCTTGTGGTGGTGGCTCCTGGCTTTATTGCCCTTGTTTGTTTGTCTTTGGCTGTTATCTCAATATGTCCTTTCCTTCCATCTGTCTTTTTCTTCCAATTGGTCTCCCATTACCCTCTCTTATTTCCCCCATTCCTTATCTGTCGCCCTGTCTGGTGGACTGTGGCGGTCAGTCCTTCCACGCTGTTTACCCAGTCGGCATATGGCAGGCCTCAGTCATCAGTCACTCGAGCCACTGCCAGGAGAGCCTGGAAGGGGGTCTGGCTAATTGACCACATAGGAATTCCCCATTAATTCTCATCGGCCCCGGGAGCCACTGCCAGGAGAGCCTGGAAGGGGGTCTGGCTAATTGACCACATAGGAATTCCCCATTAATTCTCTTCCCGTTCCCATTCTTACAAGAAAAGAATTGGAAGAGAACTTGGGCTTATGGGAAGGGGCTTTAAGCCTTTCCATTAGAGGTGTTTTGAACCTGTTTAAGTGGCATGGCCATCGATCAGCCCCTGCCCTCAGAGCTGCATGTGGGGTCTGTTATTCTTTACCTTGACCTGAGCCCGGTCAGAGAGGGATTCTCCAATTTCCTCTGCTTTCTCCCCATCTGGGCAGCAAAGGGGGAGAGCGGGAGAGCCATTTAGCGGCTGAAGCTATGGTTACCTCCATGGGACGTTGATAGTGGGAGCTGCGGGGGGCTGAGTGGCGCCATGCTTACCTGTGATAACTGGTAGCGTTTGCATTCCCCAGCACAGCTACTGCCCACATGGGCCAGATGTTTTGAGCATCAGTTGCTTAAAGCCAAGTCGGAGTGAACTCAGTCCCATGACATTAACTGAGAGGGATCGAGTTGCAGTGTTTTTCTAAAGGAACAAAGCCCAGGATTAGGAAGAACCATAATACTTTATAAAAACACATGCAAGGGCAAGGGAGGCACGAGTGGCCTGGGATTTGACAGCACCATAACCAAAAAGTGCTAACACAAGCTTATAACAAGCAGGCTGGCAATGCAGTGAGGATATAGTAAGTGTCTGGGGCTCGGGAAATTCAGCTGTAGCTCTGTCTGGTTACAGTACGGCAGGAATCCTTAAGTAACGGTGTGGTTGGTCCTCTGCAGTTGTAGTTCGATCCAAGACAAGTGCTTAACTCCCAGCCTGTAGCTGTTACATTGCGCCGTGAGGGATTGCCTCAGTAAATTGAGCTCTGAGGAGCAGAACTAAAGCTCCTCTGTTTTAAGGACTCACTCCATTGACTTTCTTGGGAGCTGGACTGGCCTCCATGTGATTTAGCCATTAAGCCAAATTGAATCTTCACTAGCTGTCAAAAAGCACTAGATGTTAGTTAGACCAGGAGCAAACAGTTGTTGTCGGAGAACTCGGACCTCTCACTGCTGGTCCAGAACGTAGTCATAGGCAGAAGGTTTTGCTTGCACTATGCTCAATTGCCTTAATCACCAGCTCCTTGGCAAGCGAATGCAGAGAGCTGGGAAGCTTTCTTCTGTGGCGGCGAGTGAGGCAGAAAAGAAACCTCAGTGTTTGGCTGCTTTCTTCAGCAGAAAACCTGGCTAGAAGACATATCGCCGCCTCCTTCAGAACATCCTAGTTTTTTCTCACGTTCCTTGATCTCCCCCACCAGTTACAGCTGGTGGCAATTTTGCGGCTGATGCCAAACAGCTCTGCTCGGCACGCGGGATCTGGCAGGGGCACTGCCCTGCGAACGTGCAGGGTGGTCACGGGAGAGCAGATGTGAGCCTGACGGTGAGAGGGTGAAGAGCCAGGGCTGAGGGGGGTAAGCTGCTGTAACCCGGCGTGGCTCTGATGGCGTCGGCATGCCAGCTCTTCGCTCTGCAAACGCTGTCAGTGCCTGTGAGCGCCGACGGGATCTCACGTAATTTGCTGTTTTGTACCTGTCTCTGAAATTAATGGAAGGAACAAACCCAACCTGCATTTCAGTTTATTTTCCTAGGTTTTGAGCTTTGTTACTCTAGAATATTTTTCAATATTTTTCTCTCCTCCCAGCTGGTGCGGGGAGAAGGAGAGTAACCACCGTTTTCCTTTACACCCCATGCTTGCCCTGCTGAGGGTTTAACACTCACTGGCCTGAATTTTCAAAACTATTTGATGCCGTATTTTCAGGAGTACGATGCATCTACAGCCCCCGCAGGTTTCTGAAAACGTAGCTGAAAGTATCTCAGAAAAGACAGCCCCGAAAGCTTTTGCATTTGCTGTTTGAAATGTTTAAAATGTCCTGTTAGTGCAGGGAAATGTCTGGACACAAGATGGCGCAGGTTGGCAGTCAGGGCTTGCAGCTCAGCCCTGCTCTTCTAGGAGGGCGCCTGGGTAAGACCCCGAGCAGAGCTGAGCTGCTCTGCTCCAGGGAAGAGGTGTTCCTGTTTCTCACCACCGTTTTCCACCCTGCTTGCTCCTCTCTGGAAGGCGATGCCTCCTCTGGATGCCGCCCCTGAATGAGCTCCTCTCAGCAGAGGTGGAGGGAAAGGGTGTGGGTCCGTGGATTTATTTCAAAAGGATGCGGATGTATCCCTACAACGACGGCGTCGGTTCCTGGTGCAGGTGGTAGGAACTGGGCAGGTTCCCAGGTGTTCCCTTTTCGCAGCTCTGAAGGGAAAAACATGCAATACCAGGGTGGTCCGTGAGACTGGGGGAATTTCCAGAGTCTATGTGGAGAGGGCTCTTTCTCCTTTTCTGCTCTTGAGCCTGCTGTCAAGTCAGAAATCTGCCAGGGGAAAAGAAGGTGGGGTGGGGAAGTCGTGTTTGGAGGCAATGTGGCCAGAAATAGAAATATTTAGGGAACAGGAACACAGCAGTCGCAACAGGAGGAAAAGGAGACTTTTGTCTCTTCTAAAGGGCGAAACAACAGAAATTGGGGGATAATGAAAGCCGTTATGAAAACGTGATGAATTCATGGTAATTACGCCAGCTGCCAGTGCAGCAGGA